TTTTTTTTTTTCATGTATTTCCCATAACTGTGTTCTATGTTTACACGCGTGTTTGTAGAGTTCATCAGCTTCTGGACCGAGACTGAAAACATTCGAGCGTTCCGCCCAGCGTGAATCCATTTGACTGACATAAATAGTAAAGGATCGCCATCTGGTGTAGATCACTATTCATGTGTAGCTGCATCCAGAGGAGAAAGCTAAATGTTCGGAGGCAGAGCCAGAAAATTGAACATATCCCTGATTAAAACTTTAATTAGGGGAATAAAAAAAAAATAATTAAAAAATAAAATTGGCGTACCTCTGGAATAGTCTCCTGACCAACAAACTGAAGACACGGTTTGGTTTAAAAGGATCAGCATACAGTTATCGCCATCTGCTGCCTATGGCTGGGAAGGCCTTTGGATGACAGAGTGAGCACTGCGAGAAGCTAAATGCCACACCTCTTATTGACAGCTGGGAGCGTTTGCTCTTACTGAATGCTAATTAACTGAATGTTGAGCTTATTGCGCTTCACTTTTCATCTAGGAATAACTGTATTTTGTACATTTTATTACACTGAGTGGACATCAGTGCTCAATTTATTTTCAAATCAATCAAATCAGACAAGCCTGAACATAAGTCGGACCATACGGAAGACATTTAAAAGTAAGATTCAGATCAACATGTTTATGAAATCATATACTTTGTGGCTTAATATTTCTTGGTCTGTTTTTTGCCCTTCTTTTGCTTTTCTTTTGTTTTTTTATTGTTTTCTAACTCTTGCCCAGGATCTAAAAGAACTCCCTATAAAATCTGTAATACCATCAGCGCAATGAAACATGGCGGTGGCAGCATCGTTCTGTGGGGTTTTCTCTCTTTAAAAGTAACAGTAAAGCAGGTAGAAGACGGGTGACGCTGAAGATATAAACACATTTAACTTAAATATTTTGTAGAGCTACATTTTTAGTTCCAGTAGAGTTTTATGCCTAGAAATTGCCTCATTTACTGATTTCCCTAACTATTTTTTCCTCGTTTGTAGTTTTGCTCCTCCCCTCCGCCCCCTTTTTTTTCTTTCATTTCTTTGTTTTCATTTTTGGCGAGACAACCGGAAAACATATTCATTCTAATGTTGCGGTAATAGTTGGTGAAATTATGGAAGATCAAGCAACAAATGTTTTAAAAAGATGTTGTAAAAATAAAAGGCTCAGTATGGGAGAAACGAAAAGAACAGGAGTGAGAAATAATAATGGATGCCTTAAAACTAAGCAGGGTCATTTTAATCCATCATACTGATATCAAGTGTTTGGTTGTTTTCGTAAACGAGCGCTCTTAAGAATTTAGTAAAAACGCAAAATGATGAATTAAATTTAAAAAAAAAAAAGAACAATAACTGTTGGATTTTAACCACAAAAAAAGGCAAAATCTTTTAACCGCAACGGATTAAGCAAGCCTCACACCGACATTTTTTATTATGTTCCAGTCACGATACAACAAATACTGTCATTTTCACAAGAGTATAGTATATAGGGGCTATGAAAAAAATCTGACTGAAATCAATCAGAATTGATAAACAAAAGGCCCTAAATCTACAACATTTAAAACGTCTTGTACCACATGTATCATCAATTTAGCAGTGATCGGCTTTTAAAACCTTTTGTAGCCTACAGCTTTAATAAAATACAGATTTGTTGTTTTTTTTTTTTCCTTCACTGACAGAGATTATTATGCCAGTATATGCTACACAAAACCATGTCATGTACAGATTCCTAAATATCTTTAGTTACTAACAGTTGAGGCTACTCAACAGAAGACATGTCGCTCTTTAAAATACTACTGACTGTTTTAATCTTATGCTTTATTTCTGTTTTTTTATTTGTTTGTTTGTTTGTTTTGTACAGTCACTATCACAAATGTCCAGCAGTATATACATTATGAACATAAATACAGTGATTCTGACTCAACAGTGTGTAGATAGATAGATAGTTGGATAGATAGATAGATAGATAGATAGATAGATAGATAGATAGATAGATAGATAGATAGATAGATAGATAGATAGATAGATAGATAGATTTGTTCTAACTGTGAGGATAAAAACTGTAGTAACCAATGTCCTTTGTACAGTTCTTCTCGCACTCTCTCGGTGCCAGCAGCTCGGATTTTAACGGGGACACTGTCTCTGAGACCGGGGTGGCAGAGGGGGAGATCCGTCTTCTTTTGGCTTGTTCAAAGATCCCAGAATCGCTGGAATCAATCGACTTTATCGACGACGGCGTCTCTATCCAGCTGGACTCTGATGTGATGTCTTTGGGTTTGGTCTCTTCCGAGCCACCGATCGGTGACCTCTCGGTCGCGATGGAGTCTCCTTCCTCCGACAGGTAGTTGGTGCCCGCCCTGCCTCCAAGGGAGTTGGTCGGCCAGCAGGAAAAGACCGAGCTGGATTTACTGTTTACGCCGCAGTACTGTGGTGGCGTGCGTCCTCCCCAGCCAGACGGGTCTGCGTAATAGCCAAGAGGCCGATTGGAGCAGCCCGCTGTCGGCAGGGGGAGAGCCTTTACTCCGGCCGCTGCGTAGGACAGCAAGGTGGCCGCGTTACCGGCGAAATCGGCGGCGTCGTATGCCGAGGCGGCAAAGTCCAGTCGGTTGTTGGCAGGGGTGACAAACCAACGCTGCGGGGGGGTGGCAACAGTGGGCTCCTCGCTTTGCTGCGGGGACAGCAAGCTGTTGCCGAGTGGGACGCTGCGCTCCGTGCCAGGACCAGTCCCCACGCCAGGGTGAAAGCGAGATTTGGCATAAGTGCTGACAAATTGGTCCTGCAGGAAGGAGCTGGGCATGGCGTATCTCGCACCCGGCACGATCTGTGAGCGCGGAGAGTCACCCGGTGATGGAGTTAGGCGGTCAATGTCGCAGCCTGTGTATACACTGAAAAAGATGGAGAGAAAAACAGAAACAATTCAGAGCTAAGCAGTGCGTAATGGTGGATCCTCAAAAAAAAAGAAAAAAAAAGAAAAGAAAATTGTGAAAACGGACATCCCGTGAGTTGGACCAGTTATATTTAAATCTCAGAAGATCTAATTGTCATTTCCAATTGTCATTGAAATTATCTTTCATAATACAAAAATACATACATTCTGATACACATACTGACTTCTCGAGAAGAAACAGAAGTTATTCTAGAAATAAATTATTTCAGTTTTAATTCCCATAATAACGGAAAACCAAATGAACTCAAAAGAAGAAGCAAAGTTCCTCATAAATTATACAATTTTTGAACATGGCAATTTATTTGTTTTTATTTTTTTTTCCCATTGGACCAAGCTACTCTATTGTTATTCTTGTAAATGTCATAAAAATAGATTTGGAATGATGGAAACCGTGTTTTTAAATTGCATTTGTCTGGAGAAGGGATAAATAAAGATTTATGAAACCTTTTTTAAAACATAGCATAATGAATATTTCAATTTAAAACGAAAAACAAATTATTAAAATGAATCATCTTACGTGTCATAATTGTCCCGAAATCCTTTGGCAAACGGATTGTGGTCGATTTTCAGTTGCGTAATCTGCAGGAAGAAAAAAATGCATACATTATTAATTCCAATAAAAAAGAATAAAATACAATAAAAACAGAAAATTTAAGGATGAAGACTTAAATGGTATTATAAGACAATAGCACAATAAAACGAAAAACACAACAGGGAACTGAGCTAGTTGGAACTAATTATTTACAAATTTAAAGTGAACAAAAATTCACCTTGATTTATTTTTTTTCCCGTGTTAATATTTGCATTTTTGTTTGTTTTCTCCGAAACGATATTTTTTAAAAAAAAGTAAATAAGATGTGCAACAGCAGAATTTGAATCTCGTCTCAAACAGAAAAGTGTCCGTACGTCAGTGTTCTGGTAAGCGGTGACGGCGATGAACTGCGTCTCCGTGAAGGTGAACGTCTGGACTCTTCCCGGCTGGCTGGTGTCCTCTGTCCCGTCTTCGTTCACTTCCACCACATGGAGCCTGGGCTGGTACTTGTGGAGCGACTGGAGGACCACCATCTGGAGGTTTCGATGGAAGAAATTCACTTTCAGAGTTTAGAGAGACGGCTGAAGCATCACGCTGCTGTTTTCAAATGTGTTATCATACACTGAGCTAGCTCACCTGTGCGAATAATGACGCAAGCTGACAGGAAAGATGAATTGGAAATAAAATAAATAAATAAATAAATAACTGCGGGTGTTTACCTGGCCTGTGTTGTTGGAGGCACCTTTGTTGTTGGTGAGCTTTAGCTTTCCAAACGAGATTTCCTGACGCATCCAGTGCGCGCCGGTGTTTGGTGAATCCGGGTGCATGTAAACTCTGTTTCCTTAAAAAATGTGCGAATAAATAAACAAAAAGATATATAAAATAAAGCAATATTATTTAAAAACTATAACAATTGTAAATAAATAAATAAATAAATAAAAGGTACACAATTAACGACAAAATGTAATATTAAATTTGGTGGGTAATGCTATTGGTTATGATTATATTAATAAAACGGATGATAACAATAAGGATGAGGCTACCTATAACGTTTGTGTCAGCTTTCCCACACGGCACCCACTTTCCTCCTTGGAATCGCCAGTGATTCGGATCAGCGAGTATTACATCCACAAATATATTGTAGTGAGCGGTTGGGTCGAGGCCAGAAATGTTGAAGCTTAAAAAGGGAAACATTCGTCTGCAGAGGAAAAAAAAAAAACTAAAATTAAAATAAAATATTTTAAGATTTTTTTATATACATATAAAAAACTAACAGTTTTGATTTCTTTTTTTTTTTTGTCAATTTTACTAAGTCCAAACAATTTTATTTATTTTCTATGTTTTATTATCATTCTTACGATTACTATTTATGTGGAGGGGCTAAGCAAACTTCTTTTAGAGAATCGACAAAATCCTTTTTTTTTTTTTCTTTTTTCTTTTTCTAAAGCATCCTCACCAACTTACCGTCCCTGTTTTGTTATGATCATCTCTGTCTGGTGCCTGTGAAACTTCAGCCACAGGGCCCTGTTGCACAGATACACCTGCGCCTTCCCCGGTACCAGTCCCGCCTGCGCCGAAGAGAACTGGTAAAAAGCTCCCCCTTGGTACGTGTGTCCATACTGTTGCGCGTAAGGGTAGCCCGCCGTCGGGTAGCCTTGCGGAGACGTGTTGGTTAAAAGGCTGTTGTACGCTCCGTTAGTTATGACCGGATGATGGGCCATATAGCGGCTGGGACTCCCGATGGAGAAAGCGGGGTGCGCCGGTCCATGCTGGCTCGGGTACGGAAACATGGCAGTGGGAGCGGCGGAGACTGACGGCGGCTGGGCGGACGGAGAAAAGATGCACCTTTCTCCTGCAGATCCATCGAAATTATGACGGATGTCAGAGACTCCGTGGAGATCAGGAGAGAGTTTGCCCCTCTGGACGTCCCCCGACGCGTCCTTGGAGTCGGGGAAATTGTCTGCCTCTGACTGATTCGTCATCTCCCTGGAGTTTTTTTTCAGAGGTGAACTTCTCTCCAGGTTGTCACTTGAAGATATAATAGGATGGTCCTGCAACGAGAGCTCCTCTGATCCATTGGAGCTCGCAAAGCCACTGCCCACATTCATAAATTTCTTTGAGATTTCACTCGTCAGCGAGATGCAATTCTCCACTTGCATAGCTCTATTAGCTCATCCTATATCCCAGGCTTTTTGCACACGCCTCTCCTAATCTAACATGACTTGGAGTAAGGAAGGCGGCAAATTAGCCAATTGACACCATCCTGCAATCAGGATGGATCTTCTCTCCATCACTCTGCGCTCTCTCCTAATGAAACAACCGCTGCTATTGGTTAACTCAGGACTGTAATTTAATTAGACAGCTCTTAATTAGGAGCGCTGTGAACAAAGTGATTTGTTTGTAGTGTGACACGGGCCTATATGTGATTAAAACATATAAGGACGCCGACTGTTTCTAGAAAGGCATATAAAAGATCATAATTATTAAAGCTATTTTTCCCTGTCTCTCGGCTACGCTATTTACCTTTACTCTGCGTTATTTACCTATTTATGCACCGTGAGTGCCAAAGTATGTCTGTCGAAGCAAACCGGGATTTATTATTAACATGCCAAAAATGACAGTCCATGACAGGCAGCCTTAAAATGCTTGTGATATGGCGTGAAATCACTGCGTCCCACTGAAGATGTGTTTATGAGTCCCAGCGCTGGTAAATATTTTATACTCACTGAAAGTTAGGAAGCTGGGGCACTGATAAGAGGCGAGAGCAGGCAGCAGCTCAGCGGAGGAGCTGAAAAACACCAAAATATGCTCTCCATTAAGAGTCATTGTGCAACAATTTAGTTAATTTGGCCACTGCTTTGTCGGGAGAGGTAATTGGAAGAATTGTAATTAGAGGCTCGTGTGTGTGTGTGTGTGTGTGTGTGTGTGTGTGTGTGTGTGCGTGTGTGTGGGTGTGTGTGTGTGTGCGTGTGTGTGTGTGTGTAGGTGTGTGTCTGTGTGTGTGTGTGTGTGTGGAGGGGGGGCACACGTTTTTCATGAAATATATTTCAAATAACGGACGAAATGAAATGTTCTTAAAATTGGTAATTAAAAACTAAATCATTTAATCTAACAATCTGCAGAGGAAATAATTAGTTTCCCCTGCAGATTAAATCTAAATGAATCAGATTCGATTGAGAAGATGGAACAAGTTGCAGAGAAAGCAGCTGCAGGTGGACACCTTCCTGTTTTCTTCAATAAGCTGGCTCATAATTCTGTGTGATTTAACTGTAAATTCTAAAATTATTCATTTCAAATCTGGAATCTTTTGACAAAGGACTTGATTTAGCAGTTCTATTGAGGTTTTCGATCACTTTTTTTTTTTTTTTTTTTTACAGCGATGTAATTCAAATGCTTTCCCTTCATTAGCAGTGCATACAAGACCCGCCTGAGGCACAAGCGAAATATATGGCTGCTGAGGGCCCCTGGTTGGCTATTTCTTTCGTGCTTTATTTTCTTGTAGTGAATTGTTGTTCTACAAAGCAAAGAGTTTTTAAAGTTTCTATAGTTAAATATTTATAAACCCAGAGCACCGAGAGTTGCTTTAATTTGTTTATTTAATGACACGTTGCGTTTTGAGCCTTCTTTAAGTTGTCAGACAGATTCTTTAAAGCCGCAGTCAGACACCTTCATTGACAAGTTAACCAATCATGTGAGGAGTAAGTTGGAAGTAAATGCTCAAACGATTTATTTCAAAACTGGACTCAAACAGAAAGTGCTTAGTGGAACTTTTCTTTTTTTCTTATAGTTTTTGATTACAGAATTTTACAGAGATCTTGTTCAGATTAATTGCTTTTTGATTTAAACATGTACAACGTGTGACGGTTTATGGTCCATGGCTGGCCTGGATCTGGTTGGTAGGTAGGAAACATATATTGTGCTTTTACAAGAATTAAACCAGTGTTGTGTTGTTTTTGTTTGTTTGTTTTCTTAATAAAAGTTTTTCAGCGTATTAATTATTTGTATAAGTATAAAGAAAACTTATGTTGTTTTGATTTGATTTTGTCTCTTTAGATGACCATCGTGTGACTTTGAAATAGACGGCGTGACAAACATAACTTCCAACATACTCAACAACAGGGAGCTTTATCTGCATGCCTCCACCTTTTCCACACTCCATTGCTTTTGTCCGCCTGTGATATTTGCATCCTCTCCTTCCTCCATGGCATGTGCATCTCTTCTCTGTGTGCACCTTCTCCCCAGTCCCTTTGCATATGTCCCACTACATTTAGTGCAGAAAGTTTGCACTCTTTACAATTTGCAACTTCTCTCTGCTCTATTTATGATTGTCTCACAATGTACATCTTTTCTCCTCTTAATTTGAGTTTGTCCTCCATTGGTGGCTGCACCTTGCCTCTCACTCATTTTCCTCACTTTGCTGTTTGTACCTTCTGCCAACTTCATTTGCGTTTTTTTTTATTGCCCGATAGTTTGCTCATTCTACCTACTCATTCTGCATTTTTGTCCTCATGCTTTGTGCTACTTCTTTTCATTCCATTTCTGCCTTTCACCCCAGGTTGTGTGCATCTTCTCTCTGCCACATTTGAATTCATTCCCCTGCCTTGTAAGTAATTCTCTCCACTGCATTTATTTTCATTCCCCTAATCCCCGTGTTTGCTTACAATATCGCTGCATATCCATGTCTTTTGGAATGTGACAGTAAAACACTCCATGCTGATCAGAGTTTACTAAAGCTCTTTTACAGGACATAAAAAGAAATGGTAAGACACGGAGTTTGATTACTTAAGCTAACATTGCTCTTTTGCTTGCTAAGTAATTAGGGCATGCTAGAGGTATGCTGACCAAAGAATTGGTGGGAAAGTTAACATAGACAGAATTAATGTGGAGTTATATTCTGAGAATAGTGGATCCCTGGTATTTGCAGGAGTGAGGGACCACAACCACTCACAAATAGCTAAAATCCACAAAAGCTTCCTTATTTCCTTTCTTGGGGGTACAGTCAATCAGTGGCAAAGAGATTACACATACCTGGACTGGCTGATTTGCAAATGGCCAGCCAGTAACATTTCAGGTTCCATTGCTCCTCTCAAGCTGCACTTTCTTTTGAATAGTTTAGATATCCCATACATAAAAAAAACATAAATAGGCAATTTTACTGCAAATAATCTACAGTTAAGTTCCACAGAAAAAAAATCTGCAAATACTGAACAATGGACAAGAAGGTGTCGACTGTATAGATCTTAATATCCAATTGATAAAATTAGACATTATTATACTGCTGTCATTTTTAATATGATCATTTCTAAGGATTTGTGCTATTTTTATATTAACATAAAAAAATGACTTGTCACTCAAACTGCTAGTCACTTTAACCCATTTTTTTGGTGTAAAATCTAACGCAGTAGTGGGGTCAAATCCATAATCTAAACCTGTTTGGTCAACCCTCAGACTGGACATGCAAAATAACCCAATTTGGTTCATTTATTTATACCCCAGAAAGTTTATAGAATGTTTTAGAATGTAGGTAAAAGTTATTCTATAACTTTTGGTTAAGCTGCTCTGCAGTATGATTGGCCAATCACTGTGCACAAGATATTCTAAACCATCTGAGGAAAAAGGAACACAAGTAAAGATCTATTTCACTGTGGTACTGCCCACCATGTTATATCTTTAATGAACAGCCATGAATTTCTAAAGCTAACAAGAGGGGTCATTACAGAAGGGCTACTGGGTCCAGCAATCTATTTCTGAGAAACATGCAAGCACAGGCTTGTCTGTGCCTAAGGAAAAGAGGCCACTCTCTGCTTTGCTCATTACAGGATTATGGTTCACTTCCATTGCTGGTCTTTAATAAGCAAAGTGAGCTTGTTTTTTTTTTTTTTTTTTTTTTTTTTTTGGGGTGTTATTTTTTTTTCTCTCTCTCTCTCTTTTTCTCTGTCTCTCTGTCTCCCACGAACCAATTGTTGACTCAACCATGCAGCAACATCATGCGTCTCCCCAGGTACCGGTGCCGTTGTTTATCAGACTAAGTCTTCCCTTTATTACCTCAGCTACAACCAGTGGACATAATCAAAGAGGAGGAGGCTCATTTGTTATGCTTGTGGCCAGCTTTGTCCTTGGGGAGATGTAGAGCAGTGCAGGTTAGGATGGCTGCCTCCTGTCTCTGCAAAAGAGCCTTATTTGACCAGCTGAGCATAATGCAGTGACTCACCATGAACAGAATCTATAGCTATTTATATTTTAAAAAAATATATAAGATCTTAATGCTAATATGTGCATACATGCATATATTTACATGTCTACATGCAGGCCTGTTATGCAGTGCTGTGGAAAACTATTTGTCACCTTACAGATTTTTTTCTGCTTTTGCTTTATTTGTCACACCTAACCATCTAAATGATTAGTTTGATCATTCAGACGATCAAACTAATTTAAATATCAGACAATGATGATCTAAGTAAATACAAAAAAAATACTAATGATTAAATAATGATCTGTTGGCGCTGACAACTGTCATGGAGTTTTTGAGATTACAGAGAAAGATGAAAGTGCAACTCTTTTACATCATTATGAGGGAATTTATTTAATTTTATTGTTTAATTAAGTCACATTTGACTGGTGTTTAGGGCCATAAACACTATGGCATCTTAATGAAATTCATGTGGTTTGACTAGAGAACTTCAGAATCTGAATTTTAGGGTGCTTTTTTTTTAGCTACCTAAAGGTGGGCACACTTCACGTATCTGTACCCTCTGTCCGCCACACGTTTTTCAGCTGGTACAATTGTTTAATCCGTTTTTAACATGCTGTGAAATATAAACACAAAACTTTGGACAGCTTTTTCCAAATAAAAACTGAGTGTTTTGAATAACTCTATTGGATGTGTGGATGTCCTGGAGTGGGAAGCATTTAAAACTTTCACACCTTCCAGAAAGTTGGATCTTTGTCTTATCAGTTTGGGCAAAACCAAAAGTCCTAGGGATTGTCAAGATAGTTTTTGGCAAATGCAAGACAGACCTCCATCTTTCTCCAGGCTCTTCTTGTTGTTGAATCACAAACACTGACCTTAACTAAGACCAGTGAGGCCCGCTGTTGTAACTGTTGTTCCCAGTTGGCACTGCAACTGGGACCAACAGTTGATCCAATTTATTCAGCTTAGGGCATAATGTTTTGGTTTTATTATGCATTTAGCCTACTTCATGTTGCCAGACAGGTC